GTCAGTCGCTGGCAGTCGGCCTATGAGTGAGGACGTGTAGTGAGCGCTCGTCTGATTCCAGTAAGGTATAAAATGCTGGAACAACATGAGCAGCGATATTGCATCAAATTTTGCGAAAAGCTTGGCAATACCCAAGTGGAAACCATTTGCAAGATTCAACAGGCTTTCGGGGACAATGCCATGAGCAACTCATGAATAAAGGAGTGGTACAACCACTTCAAAGATGACCGCACATCAGTGGACAGCGAACCACATTCAGGCAGACCCTCACCAAGGCGAAATGAGAATGTCATTGAGCAAGTGCGGACTTTGGTCATGGAGGACGGTCGTATCACAGTCTGAAAACTTGCAAACGAGATAGGGGTAAGCGTTGGATCGGTACATTCAATTTTGACCGAGGAATTGGGTATGAGGAGAGTGTCCGCGAAATTCGTAACGAAACTGGTAACAATGGCACAGAAGAAACGCCATCTGTAAATCGCACAGGACATGCTGGACAATGCAAACAGTAACCCCAACTTTCTGAACACAGTGTTCACAGGTGATGAGTCATGGGCCTATGGGTATGACCCGGAAACAAAGATGCAGTCATCACAGCGGAAACATCCGACATACCCGAGGCCAAAAAAAAAAAGCATGGTAGGTCCGCAGCAATGTCAAGGTCATGTTGACCATTTTCTTCGACTCCCGTGGGGTTGTGTATCATGAGTATGCACCACAAGGCCAAACCATCACAAAGGAATACTACCAGGAGGTCCTTCGTCGCCTTCGTGATACTGTGCGGCACAAACGACCGGATCTGTGGGCAGCAAAAACTTGGTAGCTCCATCATGATAACGCACCCGCCCATTCTGTGCACCTGATTCAGACTTTCATCGCCAAACGCAACATCCCTGTGGTTCATCAGGCTCCCTATTCCCCCGACATGGCTCCGTGTGACTTTTGGCTATTTCCCAAGCTGAAAAGGCCGCTGAAAGGAACCTGATTTGAGTCAAGAGAAGACATCATGCGCAATGTGACGGCCCGGCTGATCACCATTCCAAAAGACGCGTTCCAGAAGTGTTTCCAACAATGGCAGAAGCGCTGGGAGAAGTGTGTGCATTACCAAGGAGACTACTTTGAAGGGGATTAGGGTTTTACACCTCCAAATCAATAAACGTATTTCTGCCGACCAAAGGTCCGATCCTTTTTGAACACACCACGTATACTTAGCCTTCTCAGTGATTACTTCCAGACCAACCTCTTTACAAGTGTCAATTATAGCTTGTGAGTTTTTCTTTCTGGTATCTACATTATCACCCAGCAGATTCACATCATCAGCATAAACCTACAGCTGACGTGTCCCATTTAATTTCAGTCCCACCTGGTTTCCCTGGACCACCCCAGACGATAGGTGAGGGTGATTGTGGAGCAAATGGTGGAATGAAGATTTGCAGGGGAAACTGAAGCACTTGGAGAAAACCTACCGCCGCGCCACTTTGTCCACCACAAATCCCACTTGACCAGACCCGGGGTCAAACCCAGGCCGCTGCACTGGGAAGCCAGCGACTAACCACTTGGCCTATGGCATGGACCGACGAATGCAAAAGATCTGATCTGTAGTTGATATGTTACATTGAAACCCTCATTGATGATCCCCAATAATTTCATCTATATATGGATTTAACCTTGAGAGAACAATATTGGACAAAATTTTGTATGAAGTTGATAGCAGTGATATCCCTTGATAATTACTACAATCAGTTTTATCACCCTTCTTGTGAAGTGGTACAATAATAGACTCTTTCTACTGATCAGGCATTTTTTCCTTATGCCAAATAGAAGTAATAAGATTGTGGATCATAGAACATAATATTTCGCCTCTGGCTTGAATAAGTTCTGCCGGAATGTGATCACTACCTGGCGATTTATACCGTTTCAATTTTGCAATAGCACTTTCAATCTCAAAAGGGCTAGGATCAGGTATTAACGGCTCAGCTGCATGGATTTCTGTCTGCCTAACAGCACTGATCCTATGTACATTCAATAACTGAGTGAAGTAGTTCCTCCACCTATCCAAAATGTTGTGGGAATCTGCAAGCAGATCACCATTCTCATCCTTCACGAAGTTACTTCTAGGCTGGTAACCCCGCTTAACACTTCATGGACCGGACACCTAGGCCTAGGCGTTCGGGTTTTAAACGTGGAAGACCAGTCGCCTAGATTTATGCTTTTAGAACACGATAAGTTGCAACACGCTATACATCGCTCTGGCACCACTTACATTGCATGCAACCACCTGCAAGTGCGCGATAAAGACTCTGGAATGTTTAGTTAGCAGTCAGCAACTTGATCTCGCTGTTTACTTAACCGACTATAAAGGGGACATTGCGGGGACAGCAAAAATCTAAAAAAATCTAGACCCTGATTCAAAATTGAAATACAAAGCATTTCTGATGAATGTGGCAAAGGTTTCGGCTACAGACGAGATGGTGGCGAAACAACCAGTGTCAGACAGACTTAGTGCGACTTAGTGCCCATCAAATGCCACCCCACACAGCCCTCATGTGGACACCCTGGGCGACTCTCGGGTGATATGCGAAAACATACCTTTGTGAAAATTGTGAAGAGTGAACATTCCAAGGGGAAGCATCCTTCTAGGCAATGCCATGTTTGCGCAGTTCACAAAAAAGTAATATAAATGTCTACATTTGCAAGTGTGTACTGCCACTTCACAAAGGGGAGTGTTTCCAGAAATATCACAACCTCAAGCACTTCTAGCAGCATTCGTAAGTGTTCTCAAAAAAATTTTAGTTCATAAAATTAATTACATTTTATATTACTTTTTAAAGTGAACAGTGCACAAGTTAGGGTAGTAGGTACAAAAATGCCGGTCCTCAGGGTGATTTAAATATTTAAATCACCGGTCCGCAAAGTGTTAAGTCATTTATTCCTCTATACAAGTCTCTAATGTTCTTGTCCTTGCTGTCCATTGCAAGCTCATCAATTTTGTCTTTCAGATATTCCCTCTTTTTGTTCCTGAAATGCCTGCTGGTTTCAAGTATTATATTGTTCAGATTATCCAAATTTAACTCACTTGGATCCTGTAACCATTGCAATTTGGCTTGCTTTCTTTGATCTAATAATTTTGAGCATCCTTCATCAAACCATGGCTTATGTTTCTTCGGTTCATAATAACCTAGACTCTCTTTGGCAGACATTTTTATATTCTCTCTAATAGTTTCCCAAGCTTTATTAACATCCACCTCAGTTTCCAAGTTTTCCGAAGCCGTGAACCTATTTGAGATTTCAACAAAATACTGCTCTTTACCCTCTACCTCAATTAATTTCTTGAGATTGAACCTCTCCAAATGAACTCTGTGTGTTGTTTGTTTTCTAACTGCCAGTCTTTCCCTAACCTTTGCCACCACCAGGCAGTGGTCAGTATCACAATCTGCTGCCCTGAATGATCGGACATCAAGTATACTTGAGTGCTGTCTCCTATCTATCAAAATATTGTCTATTTGATTGTGTATCTTCCCATCAAGAGATGTCCAAGTAAATTTATGGATGTTACGATGTGGGAATATTGTACTGTTGACAGTAAGATTTTTTGATGTGGCAAAGTTTACAACTCTAACTCCATTATCATTACTAATTTCATGCAAACTCTCATTCCCAATCATTGGTTTGAAAATGTCTTCCCTCCCTGCTTTGGCATTGAAATCTCCTAACAAAATTTTCATACAGTACTTCGGGAATTTATCAAATACAAGTTCTAGTTCTTCATAGAATTTATTCTTTATGTCATCAATTTTATCTTCTGTTGGGGCGTGAACATTCATAACAATGATATCACACCAGCGATCTCTTAGTATTATGTATATCTTATCACTAATGAATTCTACTATCTTAACTGCTGATACGATTCTCTTATGTATGAAAAAACCTGTACCTGATTCATGATTTTCATTCTCCTTTCCATAGAAAAATGTATATTCACCTGCTAGTTTGGTGCCACCTCCATCCCATCTGACCTCCTGTACTCACACTAAATCTAACTTATATTTTAAGATTTCTTCTGCCACTGCCCTGAGCCATGAAAAATGCTTAGAAAACAAAAATGACAAATTCCAGGAGACCTTCTTGTGGCTGAGCATAATTGATGCCACAGCTCAGTACAGGGCCACGGCCTAAATGTTGAGAAACACCGGTAGTTTTCCCCTCCTTTTGTACATCCTGGAGATCGCTCTGTAGGCTTGAGGTGGATGAATCACTATTTATTGCATTATTTAACGATTCTGTCAGTACGAAAACTATGTAGCATCTGATGATAGGATTAATGATGAACTGGAAAGGATTTTGAAGGAAGAGGCTAAGGCCTAATTAAGGAACTTCCCTGGATCTTTCCTGGGTGAGATTGAGGAAAACCAAGCAAAACTTCAGCTAGAAAGCCAATGTCCCAGCCAAGCACCTACCGAATTCAAGAGCACAGTGTTATGACTAGACCTACCTGTTTGGTCATACAGCACAAAGCAATAATGAAACTGTTAATATTAAGGAATCAGAAAAAATAGTTCAAAATATCATAATATTATATTCTTGCATCCTGTTGCACATTTCACTTTGCGTCTATTATTCCCAGTCTTACGTGCAACACCGAGTCCCATAAAACTTGTTAACTTCAATAAAATTTTAAAAGTTAATTTCATATTTTGGCCAATACGGCCCTCATCAGGTGTTAAAAAAAGGTCGCTTTGATGTACTGTGTGTTTTGTAAAACATTCAGAAACACACAGCAAGGATGAACATAATGCACCAACTCCAACATGCAAGAGCATCAAAGGGACTTGCATATATATTATAAACAGAAGACAGCAGTTTCCTCATCAAAAGGATGGTCCTACTGGCTGAAACATGTAGTGAACTTTTAAACTTTTAAAGTTAAGAAGTTTACTGCGATGCAGTGTTGCACATAAGACTGTGAATAATGGACACTAAGTTCAAAATTTAGTTTATACTTCTTTTCTATAATTTCTGCTTTCTTCCTGCTTCTCTCTTGCTTTCTTCTCATTTTTGTTAGAAGTCTTCCTCTACGGTTGTCTTTGTAAATGCGCTGTGGTAGAGGGGTAGCTATTCGATAAAATATTTCCACCAGCTGTGCCTTGCTCATGGAATTCATATTCTGTAGCTTCACACATCTCTGTAAACATCAAGGACATGTGGGTTACAATCACAAGATTCTACCATAGTACAAAGAAGGTGAACTCTCTATCATGGTGTAAAATAATTATACACGAATCCAATGTAACAAACTACCTTCATAACATGACATTCACATAGACAGTCTTACCCTTATCCTCTCTATTTCAATACCAAAGGGAAAGCAATACATACAGTATACAACCTCTACATAAACTATGACACTCACATTCAATACTTGGCCCTTTGCCTTTTCTCATAAATGGGCAGGAATAGCTGTGTTCTTCTTAAGGGCACACATTACAGGTAGTCATGACACCATCCTCAATGAAGTTGGCCGAACTATGGCTGTGTCTTTGGTGGGGACACATCATGGACTAGGGATGTGTTGGGACACCTCCTCATGGTCCCGCTGGGCAATGACAGTCTCAGGGTCTGGATTAGTATGGCCTAATGGAACTGGCGGCTAAGTTCCCATGAAGGGCAATGGCATTATGATCAGAGCCTCCCACGCAGCGGCATAATGACACTTGGGTATCATTACAGTGTACCCGGGACAAACGTGGGAGAGCACTCGTATGGTGGTAGATTTGGCTACTTGACCTGTCTCCCTAGAGTACTGATAAGGTGCTGCAAGCCTTCGGGCCCACACTCTAAACCAGTTTGACCAACCCATGTGGAGGGGTGGGAATGGGGGAGCTTATAGGCCAGCCCCAGGGGCGACTCTCTCATTCAGGTTTCCTTGGTCACCTCAAAACTAGCTGGTACTGCAATCCCACTGATCATCTGAGATACCCCTCTCCCCCCGAAAAGGCACTCTAGGTCCTGGAGGCTTCCGAGGGTCTTATTAATAACAGGACCAAACCACCTAAGCCAAGGTGTGATGCATCGTGCTGAGGGCTGCGTTGCACTGGGGTGGTAATTAGCCAGTGTCGTGAACAATACCCTTGGGACACCAGGCAGCACCCAGATTTATTTATGCTTTTCACCCGTATGGGGTGCTGCGGGTGGTGATCATTAAATCCCCATGACTCATGGGACTGAAATGAATAAAGAAATCAAATTTAAAACCGGTCATAAGGACCTTAAACAGAAGAGGGACCCCAATCCAAGGGGATCCCCACGAGAAATGCTTCAGCAGGGGAGGGATGAACCAGTGATTTGAAATCTGAGGTAAAACCAAGAACTACTCTCTTGGGAGTCAGTAGTACTGACATAACCACAACAGGGGGCTAGTACTTCTAGCACACCTGCAGCAGGAGGAGGACTGGGACACCTAGTCTCTGGAGTAGGTGGACTCCGTCTAGTGAAGAAGGCATTGTCTGGATGCGCTACGCAGAAATTAGAAAAGGCAAGAGCTGGGGCACGCAAAGCAGCAAGTGGGGGCAGTCAGCAACCAGGAAATGCAGACTCGCACAAGCAGGGAGAAACCCCCACCAAAACCCCTAAGAGGCGAAGGTCGGAGGGCAGTACCCCTACGGAAACGACCAGAGTTCTGAAAAGGCCCAGTGACTTACAAGGAGGCTCTGACCAATATAAAGGTAGCTATCTTCAAGGAAACATATCCCAAGGATAAGCTTACTGAAGAAGACCAGAACTCCATTCTGGAAGCATGGGGGGAGGCATCAAGTAGGATTCCAAAGGGAGAACTATGACACCTGAAGTCCTACAGACTGGAGGGAGGTGCACTTATTTACATATGCGCCGACCAACAGTCTGGTCAATGGCTCATCAAAGCCACTGACAACTACAGGCTGGAATCAGGGGCTTGGCTGAAGGCTACTGATGCCAGGAACTTGCCCAAGGCAGTTAAAGTGGCTCTCTGGACTAGGGACATAGTTGCCCAGAATCAGGAAGATCTGCTGAAATGGATTGCAGACCTCAATTCACAACTTCATACTGAGCACTGGAGGGTACTTGATAAGCAATCTGAGCCAAAAGGTCAGAGGCTTATCTTACTCATAGACCAGAACTCTTATACTACACATATTATACAGAGGACCGGTTACAAGATATTTACAGGGCTCTCACAGGGGACTGTTAAGGTGCTGAAAGATCCCGAAATTCAGCACCGGACAGAACCTGTGCCAGACACAACATCTTCATATTCGGTCTCTGAGGGGGAGGGGGATGAGATACCCACTCCCTTGATTGACCAAAGCAAAGCGGATAAGGGGACCCCTTCACATGGAACCCAGTCCGAGGATAGGAAGGGAAATAAGATGGAAACTGACCCCTCCCAAAATGGAAGAGATAAGTAAACCAAATTCTGCATACACCTAACATATCCATAACACATACACACTATGAAATTCCTTCAAATTAACCTACACCACAGCAAAGTGGCCATGGCAACTCTATGCCAGCAACTAGCTGAGGGAAATGCAAATATGGTACTTATTCAGTAACCTTGGTTATACAAGGGTCAAATAAGGGGCTTAACTAACACAGGGGAACAGTTTACTCTGCTGTACCTGGTAACAATGTGAGATCCTGTGTCTATATTAGGAATCATGTTAATGCCTTACCTTTGCTGGATTTCTGTTCCGGGGACACAACAGCAGTGAGGATAAAATATACATATCAAGGGGGCAGCAAGGAGTTGATTGTTGCTTCAGTCTACCTTTCATATTATGCACATGAACCACCACCAACTAAGGAAATGAGGGACATCATAGACTACTGCAATAGCAGGAAAAGCAACTCATCACTGGGTGTGATGCCAACACGCACCACATCCTGTGGGGAAGCACTGGCACCAACCTAAGGGGAGAGAGCTTCATGGAATTTCTGGAGAGTTCGAACCTGAATATTTTAAAGCATGGTAATGAACCTAACTTTGTGGTTTGCAATATGAAGGAGATTAGTCATTTGACACTAGGGACAAATACCATATAAAAACCTGGTAAGTAATTGGCATGTATCTGATGAGCCGTCTTTATTGGACTACAGATACATATGCTTTCAAATAGGTAACATAACAGCACAACAAGTTACCTTCAGGAACCCCATGAGAACCAATTGGGAGTCATACATGGACAACCTAAAGGTGAACCTGGAGATTATTTCATGAAATATAAGCATGATAAGGGACACAGATCGATCTGTTGATCAGCTGCAATGGGCCATCATCTTGTCCTATTATCATAATTGCCCAGCCAAGACCACTCGCTTACCAAGGAATGCACCTTGGTGGAATAAAAAGCTGAGTGGGCTAAGAGTTAAAACAAGAAAGCTATTTAATACAGCAAACAGAACCCTCACCTGTTACAATAAAGAGATAAGGAAAGTCAAATGATCCTCATGCAGGAGGTACTGCAAGGAGATCAATGATGTACTGGGTAGTGTTGGACTCATGAGGGTCATGGCAAAACAGGCGACCAATAAGGTCAGCACTGTCAAGCTGCCTGATGGTAAGTATACCGAAACTGGAGAAGAGACGGTGAAGGAACTGTTCAGAGTCCACTTCCCAGATTCAAAGCTGATTGAAGATTCAGGTGATGAGCAGGGCCAGCAGAACCTGGACGTATGTGGATACATAATGAACAGGGAAGACTGGAACCTGGTTGGTCAGGTAATCAATCAATCAAAAATCAGATGGGGGTTTGGTACCTTCAAATCATTTAAGTCTGCGGGAACAGATGGTATTGTACCAGCACTTCTGCAGCAAGGGGGGAACGCAGCAGTGTAGTTGGTTGAGGGGCTATACTACAAGCTGGAAGGTCGCGGGTTCAAGTCCCGATGAGGTCATTGGATTTTTTCAATTGACCTAATCCTTCCAGCCCCACTATGGCCTTGGGTTTCACTCAACCTCTAACAGAAATGAGTACCAGGAATTAATTAAATAATTTTCCTTGGGAGTAAAGCGTGGCCAGCGCGTAAGGCTGGCAACCTAACCACCATCTTTGAACCGATTGTCTAGATAATGTGGGACCCTCAACGTCTCATAACCCTATGGGTCTTCATGGCCTGGTACAGGGATAGCCTTACTTTTTTTTTTTTACTTCTACAGCAACATTTAGTCCCACACCTATGCAAATATTTAGAGCCTGCATGGCGCATGAGTTTATCCCTGCGGCCAGGAGGCAAGTTAAAGTGACATTTATTCTGAAGCCTGGGAAACTTGATTATACCGAGGCTAAAGCTTATCGTCCTATCAGCCTGTCATCTTTCCATTTGAAAACAATGGAGAAAGTGGTAGACAGACATGTTAGGGATGGTGCACTGAAAATTCATCCTCTGCACCGAAACCAACAAGCTTACCAAATAGGTAAATCTACTTAAACTGCATTGCATAATGTAGTAAAACACAGAGAAAATGCTACTGAACACAAGGATATTGCCCTTTGAGCATTCCTTACGTAGAGAGAGCCTTTGACAGAACCTCTTCTGACACAATAAAACAGGCTGCTGAAAGGCATGGCATTGAGCCCTCAATATGCAGATGGATCTGTGCCATGCTGGAAAGCAGGAATATAAGTGCTGCGTTGTCTGGTGAGACCTTGGGAGCCCCTGTGGCGAGAGGGTGTCTGCAGGGGGGTGTTCTTTCCCCTCTCCTGTGGAGCCTGATCATGGATGATCTTCTTTGGGAGCTCAATACAGACCACTTCACAGTAGGATATACTGATGATATAGCAATCCTAATTAATGGGAACAGCCCTGTATACAGTTCAACAGTGGTGCGAAAGGACAAACTTGCCTATCAATCCAAAGAAGACTGTGATTGTACCCTTTACTAGGAAGAGCGATATAAAGGGGCTAAAGGAACCAATCCTCTTCAGTAAAGCAATCCGGCTATCCAGTGAAGTTAAATACCTTGGATTAACATTAGACAAAGGGCTGACATAGAAAAAAACAGCTGGATAAGGCTATTAATAAAGGCCTATAAGGCCTTTTGGACATGCAGAGGCACGTTTGGGAAGACTTGGGGACTGACACCAAGGGTGGTATATTGGATATACACTGCGGTGGTAAGACCCATAATCACCTATGCCGCCACTATATGGTGGCCTAGAGTTAACACAAGACAAGTCAGGCTGAACTAAGCAAATTGCAAAGGACAGCCTGCTTGGGAATTACAGGAGCAATGAGAACAGCTACAATGGAATTCCTACTAGGACTCCCTCCAATGCATTTGCAGATGGAAGCAGGGGCCAAGTTAGGAAATTACAGATTACGTTGCAATGATCAATGGAGACCTAAATCCAAAGGTTTTGAACATGCATACATGACTCAGGACATGGAAAAAAAACCTATCTTACAGATGGGTTCTGACAGAATGATACCAAGACATGTCTGTGATAAACCATTCATGATCAGATTCTCTGACAGAAGTGAATGGAAGAAGGGACTTCTACCTGATAGAACAGAGGGACTAATCTGGTATACAGATGGCTCCAAGACAAATAAAGGCACTGGAGCTGGCTTGTATTGTGATCGAACGAGGCTGAAGCATACCTTCAGCCTTGGTCAGTACACAAGAGTATTCCAGGCAAAGGTGTATGCCATTAAGGCATGCGCAGTTGAGAATTTAGATATGAACTATAGAAAGAGGGACATCTATATCCTATCAGACAGTCAAGCTGCAATTAAAGCACTTGGTACACACCAAATCACTTCAAAATTGGTTTGGGACTGCCACCAATCCCTCATACAACTGGCCAGACATAACAGAGTACAACTGATGTGGGTGCCAGGTCATGAGGGTTTTGCAGGGAATGAAATCACAGATCAACTGGCAAGGACAGGATCTGAACTGCCGTTCATAGGACCAGAACCAGCTTGCAGCATCTCAGTTGCAGTTGCTAAGAAAGCGATCAGGTACTGGACAGATAGAAATCATAAAAAATACTGGGACTGCATAATTGGACTCAAAACATGCAAAGGGTTTTATATCAGGACCCTCGGCCAGAAGAACGAAGGATCTGTTGAGATTAAACAGAGATCAACTAAGATGGGTGTTAGCAGGATTACATATTGAACACTGCTACCTAAAAGGACACATTTTCAAGCTGGGACTGACAGATAACCCAAGTTGTGAAAGGTGCTTACAAGAAAACGAATCAGCCACACACATCCTGTGTAATTGTGAGGACATAGGTTATTTAAAATGTCATCACTTTGGTCAGTTTTTTATGGAACCAAGTGACTTTTATGATGATCCCATAAGCAGGGTAAAGGGCTAATCCAAGGGAAACATAATAGATCACTGAAGGTCATAGTGCGAGGGCTGATTTTTATGGCCCACCCCTTACATACATACATACATTACATTACATTTCTCATAAACACTCACACACAGAATAAAACAAAATTAACACAGAACCTTTCANGGAGAGACACGGCAGCGGAATTTAAATGACTGCGTCAAAGGGTTAACACAGAACCTCTCCATAGTTTGATTTCTTGTTAAAAAACAAGTTGAAAATATTGCATAACGTATGTCCTATGAACACGTGTCTTGAACATGCCTTAACATGTTGGCATCAACTGCTGTCACGGGTGCTTGAAGTCTTGCCATGAGATCTTCAACAGTCCTTGGAGGGACTGCTTAAATATGCCCCTTCACCTATCTGCACAGAATAAAATCCATCAGAGTTAGATCTGGTGACCAAGGAGCCCTTGCAATCCATCCTCAATGTTCAATCCACCTTCCATTCAACCACTGCCAGACATGTTCCCCATGGTGTGCTGGTGCCCGATCATGCTGAAACCACAAACTTTGCCTCACAGGTAGAGGCACACCTTTAACCAGCTACAGTAAAACAGTTTTCAGAAAATCCTATCATTAAGCAGTCAGCATGTCAAGTAGCAGACGGGGGCATATGACAATGTCCCCAATGATTTCAGCCCACATGCTGATGCTGAACCAGGCTTGATATGCACACTGGTAGATAGGATGAGGACTATCCTGTGCCCAGTGATGACTGTTTTGGACACTGAACACAATGTCACAAGTAAGACCTGCTCATCTGTCCCAAAAATGTAACGTAAAAAGAGCTCATCCACAGTATGTTCCTGTCAAAGCCATTTGCCAAATTGCATCCACAGAGGTCAGTCCTCTGTAAATTTATGTGCTCTCGTTGAGAAGTTGTACAGGTGCAACTGATTGTCATGAAGTACTCTGAGGACACTTGGCTCGAATAGTCCAAATTCTTGTGCAGTATTACATAAGTTCCTCCACATCCCTCACTCCACAGTTCAAATTATGGCATCTTCATCAGCTGGTGTTTGTACAGTCTGGGCACAACCTGCATTTATTTGTGTCATGGGGGTTACACTGTGCCTCACAGACATGCTGCTCCAATTGTTGCTACACATTAGTGTCCGGATGATATCAACCAGAATAATACAGCATTCATTCACACAGCAGTACCAGGGACTATTACAGGTACCGAGGATTGTGAGCAGGTTGAAACATTCATCATGTGTGTATTCCAGGATCATTCAATGATAACTGACCCCTGTTGCGCTCTGTGTCTTGAGCACACCACCAACATGCTACATATCATGACAAATAGCACTGAAAGTATGTTAGCACACTTGGTACCTTAAAAACTGAGCATCTCAGAATATATGTTTTATAACATTTTCAACTCTAGCATTTTAACAAGGAATCACATAACCATCAACGTTATTTCCTTTGTGGGTTATTTTATCATGGTTTCACATCAATTTGCAATGCAAAACTATACTCGTCACTGATGACACTATTATAGTATTCTCATTACACACTCAGAAATTACTGCTTTCATGACTGAAAGAACGAAGTCTTTGCTAGAGTGAAAAAATGGTTTAATATCATTAAATTTATATGGTAACATGACAGCATGTGTGGATCAACAGACAATAGATGAACTGCTGGAAATGGTGTTTTCTATGCAGTTCATGCCAAGGCTATACTAGCAGCCGCTACTTAGTAATGGCTAGTTCTTGCAGTCATCCGCCTGTGTCTCGTCTTACATTTAATGGAAGATATATTTCATTTGTAAATAGTGTAAAATATCTCAGTGTAATCTTTAATAGGAGGGTTAAATGGAGATTACACATAGAAATGATCAAAGCCAAGGACTTCAGAACATTTATAATTTTGTATTCTCTATTCAAAAGTGAGCAATTAAGCACTAACATTAAGCTGACCCTCCAGAAAGCTCTCATTAGATCTGTAATGACTTATGCTAGTCCTGCCCGGGATTTCGCAACAGGTACCCATCTAGTGAAATTGCAGCGCCTGCAAAACAAGGTTCTCAGCACCACTGGCAAATTTCCAAGGCACACAGGGGTTCGCGATTTACACGTGGCTTTCAAAATTCCATATGTATATGATTATATAACAAAATTATTCATGCAACAAGCAGAAGTCATACAAAATCATAATGAAAATGGTCGCAATACTGAGCAAGAACCCCATACAGAAAGTATAAGAGGCTTACACTCAGCAGCGGTCAAGCATACGACTGTTCAAGTGACTAGATTGCCATTGTAGCAGAAGCTACTAGAAATAGGGCATAATCTGCTGTACTTGGCCTAGACTAACAGACGCCCTGTATATGTTTTATATGCATTTATCAACATGTTTAACAATTAAAATGTACATATCCTTTACATTATGACAAATGACTTACTACAGCAGACAATGACTTGGGCAAAAGACAGACCTGTTCTCTCATAAGAGAGGGCGCCCCCAAAAAAAAAACAAGAGCGAAACTGTCAAACAGTATTAAATATCTGGCCATGAGCCCCAGATAGGGCTCAATATTAAGACTGACTGACTGACCGTCAGTCCCAATGTGACTTTGACTTTGATAATGACTTGTGAAGAAACTGAAGGCTTTATGTGCGCCATACAGTGTGCAAATCAGTGAGACTGTTATAATCATTTGTCGTTACAAGTTATAAGCATTCAATGAATCCAATTATCAATCCAAACCCTGAGACTAGTCATTAACATATGACAATATAACTTCTGACAAAACAAACTTCATGAAATTTAAAGAGTATAATAATCTGTATATATAATGCTGCATAGTCCAGCAGAGGTCATGAAATTTGCTACTAAAAATACAACATATTATCATGTGTTAGTGACTACAGAAGGGGTTTTGACTGGTAACTTATTTATCCAAAAGTTATAAATCATAACTAGAAGTAATTAAAATGCTCTCACTAACTGGCACATTCTGCTTCTCATTACAGCTCATGCTAAATCTTCTATGTGTTCATTAGCCATTGCCTGGTAATGGATCCCAATGGTAGCCACGTCATTGCAGGCCTTCGACCATCTCACAACTAGTCAGAGTCAGAATCAGCGTTATTTTATGACAGGTGGTTTGCCAGGCCCCAAGAGCAGAGATTTATTTTTTGCAACTGAACCCTTGCATATCATCCTCTCTGATGAAAGGATGGGTTTGTCTCTTATGAATAGGCTTCGCCAATGTAAAGTGTATGTAGCACACATACATCATGCTATTTCTCACGATTTTATATGACTTACGCTTCTTTCCTGCATAATTTTGATATACAATCATATAAATATGAAATGTTGAAAGCCAAGTACAAATTGCGAAATGGTGTGCATCTTGGAAAATTCTGTAATGGTTCAGAGAACCTTGTTTTGTAGGCACTGCAATTTTATGAGGTAGATGTCTGTTGCTAATTCCCAGTCATTACTGATCTAACCAGTGCTTTATGGAGGGTTACTTTAATGTTGGAGCTTAAACACTAACTTTTGTATAGGGTGTACATCCTAATTAATTTTCTGAAGGCCTTGGCACCAGTCATTTCTATGTGTAGTCTCCACGTAATCATCCTTTTGAGGATTACATCCAGATATTTTACATGACTGATGAATGGGATATTTCATTCATTCAATGTAAGGCAAGCCTCGCAGGGCCTAAGTCTATCATCTGAGTCTTATCTTCATTGATTTTGATGTTCCAGTGTTCACACCATATCTCAGTAGCACTGAGACCTCAATGCAGCTTTCCGAGAACATAACCCTCTTAGTAGTCTGTCACATTTGCCACATAAAGAGGTGTCGTCATCTAAGAGACCTAGTCAGACACCAGGTGTGTGGGGCATATCATTTATTTATATATATATACTGCACACTGCTGAGGACAGGATGGAACCTTGTGGCACCCCTGCTTGCACAGTACAATCTTGGTAATCTGACATGTATGGGACCAAGGTACTGCCGAATTACCGAAAAGGATGGATTACTGGAAAAAGTTGGAACAAATTTATTAGGTTGTTTCAGAACTGATAAAACATTTAACAGAATTTCTCACCATTTGTTCATTTTACATTAATAAATGAGTCCTGTGAATTTTTGTCCAGTAATTCAATACTTGGGGCTTCATTTCACTGCATTTTTGCAAAAAAAAAAAAATAAATAAATAAATAAATAAATAAATAAATAAATCTACCGCTGTATGAAAGGTTCTCTATAGAAATGTACAGTATTGAAGAACTGAAACAGTGTGTACTAGCGAGGGTCTATATAAATTAGTTTGTCAAGCTCGACTGAACACAAGACAGCCTCTGCTGCTGCAGAAACCTGCAAAAGGTCCGCAGATACCTCTCTGGCACCTGATGCCGGATTACCGAGATTGTACTGTATATACCTTGGTGTAGATATTTCACCTTCAACCAAGACTCTTGAATCTTCTCTGAGAAAGAGAAAAGCTAATAAGCTTGAATGGACTGTTCAAAAACTTTAATACAGATAATGGTGTATCAAAGGCTTTTTCAATTATCCAATACCAGAGCTATAGATGTGTTATTGTTGAAATTTAAGGTGAAGTAGTCTGTAAGCCTCAAACATTGAAGTGTCATGTTGTGATGAGCATGAAAACCATACTGGCTTGCTTTAAGCAGGCCTCTTTCTTCAATATGCTTTTCGACTATTGTCAGGATAACTTTCTGGAAGAGATTGCTTGTTTTGGACAAGAGGCAAATCAGACATATATTCTGATGGAAATTTGGGTCCTTCCTGGGTTTCTGTAATATTATAACTTTTGCTTCCTTGCAAGGTGTAGGGAAATGGCAAAACCGAAGATGCCTGAGGCATCACAATCCCTCCTTTTGTTTCCTGCTGTTCAAGTGCCTTTCTATGGGTAATTCGTTTGTAGGTTTTGGTACCCCAATTAACTGTCCGAGTGTAAGTTGGTTTGCCGATAGTCTACATGCAGAAGCTATAGATGCAGTAAAGTTGTGGGCTGCTTTTTCAGCTTTGTCTCCTGACTTAATTTGGATTCTAGTTGAAATTAATTCAGAGGCAAGGCTCTGAAACTGCTCCCAATCTGTGAATTTGTCAACTGAGTCTGAAAGGTTCCTAGTTCTAACTTGACCCAGTAAGTGGAACACAACTGGTAGGTGATCTAAGTCCAGAATGTCACAGAATGACTTCTCACATCCGGACATTCTTGTGCACAGCAATATTGAGCACACCATTTCCCGTAGGACAGTAATGAGTGGGACATTATGGTGAACTTTCAAACGCTATTATATCCAACAAATTCACTAGTTACCCACCAAATGGCTGGAAAATATGCAATTCCAAAATGGATGT